AGTAAGGCACTTGTTACTAGAAGCGATGCACTTGTTACTAGTAGCGTTCTTGTTACTAGTATGTTTGTTGTAAAAGCGTATTTGCATTTTCTTAGATATTTCTTTTGCCACGGGACTCCTGCAAAAATGTGTCCAAGTCGAAGTGACTTCCCCGACAAATCCAGTGATTGAATGTCCGTGATGTGGGAAGGGATGAAGCTGTCAGGCGTTTTGATCCTGAATCAAACGCTGGACCCTGGCGTTCAAACGCTTTGACGCACCATGTCACCAGGTCCACTCGACCAGTTGTTGGCCAGTGTTTCATGCCGTGGCAGTGTTGTCCCATTGTTCTCGTCCATTGCGCCATGAGATGGCGACGATTAGCCTTTAGTAGCTTGTTGAGAGCATCATGCCCGCATGGTCCTCACTAACGCTCACGTTTTTGGGAAACGTGCTGCGCGTTTGGTTTCATACTCGCTACACTCTCAGACAAGCCCGAACTCCCACGGTGGCTAACTATTCCTTTGCCCCTGGCAAGTCCACTGGCACAAGTCAACGCTTGCCGTGTCGCTGTTCACGATTCAGCGGATGTGGTCTCACGGAAACATTGTCGCTAGGAACGCTAGGCTAGGCAGCCATGCAGAAAGAATCAAAATCAAACCTGCCTGCATTGAACACGTATCCTGCATTTTCGGATTGCTTGGATGGGAGTTTGTTGGGCTGGCAGGACCATCACATCACCATGCTTTACTTGGGTGGTGGCAAGGATGAGGAGATTGCAGCAAGGAGATGCTCCAACCTAAGAGCGATGGCCTCCAACCTGGAAGCAATCTAATAGGAATGGCCTCCAACCTACTACTGCCTCTGTGTGTGAAACCAGGTTCGGAAGGAGACTCTTAGACAATTCTTGGATGCAGCTCTGTCGTGTATTTGACGCAAGGGTTTCTGTGTGAACAAGAGCCTGTTGTTTCAAGCAAGTAGTAGCGACTTACAGTTTCCGCAGCTGTTTCCTGCACACCACTCCATTTCAGGTAGGAGCCATGTTCGCTACTAGGGGCTGATGGCATCACTACTAGGAGCAAGGACGCTACTAGGGGCTCCTGGCCTTTCTAGAAACAAGAAGCTACTACACGATGTGAGGGTAATCACTCCATTTCATTCCTTCAGTTCTTTCTCGACTGAGCCTTTGAGCCATTCCATTCGCTAGGGAAAATCACTTCGGGTCGGCAGAACTTTCCGTTTTTCCGAGGCAGACACCGTTCCATCCATGTCACCTTAACTAGAAAGAGGGCTACAGCTAGTAGAAACAAGTGCCACGCTAGTAGTAACAGGTGCCTTACTAGTAGTATCAAGAAGCTAGTAGAAACAAGTGCCACTTTGATTCCTTTGAGTTCAATACCGCGGGGTTCGCCTGGCTTTCAGTTTGAGTTTTATCCCACTGGGAATGAACACCCGCTTATTCCCAGCAGAAGGCGATTCAAAAAGGCTCAGCACACTCGACGGCGAACATGGCTACCCACCTCAGCTTACTGCTCTGCTCCCATTCCACGTTAACCTCGAAAGCGAATGAACTCCATCTTCAAGCACTCCAGTTATCGAGCCAGCATGCCACATCAAGAATTTGGAAGACGATTCCTTTTGGGCCAAGAACGGATTTGCCAGCACCTAAGTCAGCTCCAACAGTTCAGGACTTTTTTTTGCTCAAGACAAATCTCTCAACACCTCGCAATCACCAGAACTTCGTGAACAATTACCACATTTTGGCAAGCAGACATTTCCCCAACTTCGGTCCGAGACCCACGATGCCAAGGTTTTTCACTCGAAGTGAGGCTTAGTGAGCAATAAGATGCAATAAGCAACATTCGGACCTGGGCACAAAGATAATACGCTACTAGGGGCTCCTGGCCTTACTACTAGGAGCAAGGACGCTGCTAGGGTGGAGGCCATTGCTACTCGAAGTGAAAAGTGTACGACGGAGCGAAAGCTCGGCGCGCAGGAACCCAAGGCTGGCAGGACCACAGCAGGTGGCGTGGCTGCGCGACGAGTTCGAGCGGCGTCGAGGCGGGCCATTTGTCAGGTAGGAGCAAGGGCATCGCTACTAGGGGCTCCTGGCATCGCTACTAGGAGCAAGGACACTACTAGGGGTGCTGGCCTTACTACTAGGAGCAATGTTTGCTATTAGACAGACGAAGCTACTACACGATGTCAGGGTAATCACTCGTGAAACATTCTACAGGCAGCTCTTATGATAGTGGTGGAGTCTGGGGCAGGCTTGGGTGCATGTGCACATTTTGTCTCAAGAGCCGAGCCAACACGGACAGTGGAGTTTCTGTCTGAGGATTGGTTCCACGATTTGTGAGGGACACACAGGTATCCGGCGACTATTCCCGGTATCCATGTTGCAGTGCGCACTCAGCCCAGATCCTCACTCCTGCAGCCTACGAGTTCTGCAACCATCTGGAGGTTGCCTCACCTGATGGGACCGGGGGGCCTCCGTTGTCCTGTGGAACTTCGTTGTCCTTCTCGAGCACCTGCGGAAGGCCTCTTCGTCAGGCGTGCTTTAAGCCAGGCTGGTCGAGGTACACCTCCATGCGGGGAGGGTATTACTTCCCTGTGTCGGGGCTGCGGGCTGCCCTCAAACGTTCGCTCTACTCGCCCAAGCTTGGGAGCGCAGCGTGGAGTGCAGTGTGTTCATGTTTGAGCAATCACAGGAAGATGTTGACGTTATTGAAGCGCGCAGACTTCCTCAGAGAACTCGCATCGACTGGTTCCCCGTGCGTGATAATTCAGAGCTCAGGCAAACAGCAAGCCATCGATAGTGATCAACTTTATGCTGGCCTCCTGTCCGGCCTTCAGCTCGCACCACCTTTTTCAACCGCTATTCCAGGTTAATCGAGGCCCTCGGGCGACGCCCACGTGTAGTCCTAGCCAGTCTTCGACAGCGCTAGCATCACGGATTGGAGCTCTAGTTCCTGGAGAGGGCAGTGGTCTTTCGAGGTGTTGAACGAGCTCTTGGGCACACCTTTCGCAGCCGATAGAGGGCAGCCCATGGCCCATGGCCACGGATGCCACGTGGCTTTGCGTCTCCCATTCAGTCAATGACGTTGTTGGGCCAGAGACTGCAGCGTGAGCCAGCGACAACTCAGCTGCCTTGATGCTGATCAAGGTTGGGTCTGAAAGTTCAGACCTTAAGCGAATGAACAGTTTGATCCTTGTCCTGGATGTATTCGCCGGGGGGCCTTTGGCGACCAAAGGGCCCACCAGCACTTCAGCTTTCTTTCCCACACTCAAAGCCGTGGTTCAGCTTGGAAAGTTTTGAAGATGCATTGGGAGGAAATGCACTGGGTTCAAACTTGGTTCACGCAGCTGTAGCACAGAGGGGGTGACCAAGTGAAGGGTCTTAGCGACAAGAGTGCATGCTGCGGAGAAGGGCGTGGCGTTGGACATGTTGTCATGTTGTTTGTGGTGAATCATCGCAATACACATGTGTACAGTTTGGCTCAAGAGCTGATACGGACAGTGGGGTTTCTGTCCTACCCAGTCCACCCTTATAGCCGCCACCTGGGCGGTGTCCAACTGTTCGGTGTCAGTGGTTGCTGCGGCGAAGGGGGTAGCGTTAGAAGTGTTTTTGTGATGAGTTAAACATTTTCCTGTGCTTTGCTTGCCTTCACATTCTTCCACCAATATTTTTTGAATCCTGCAGGAAGCCGAGCAGAAAACATTTCAGTTCCGAAAAGATATTGCTCGAAGCCTTGCTCCGGGTCTGGCTACTATATTTGATCATGCCAGGCCAGACGATCAGCTTTGAGGTGCCCAGCATCGTTTGGGAAGAAGGTCGCGCCGCCTGTGCCGCGGTGGTGCTTGCAGGCTCTTTGCGACAGCTGTGTGCGAAGCTTGGCCAAAGCTTAGTGTGCAACTGGATTGGTGTGCGAACCCGGTGTTGTTGTTTTGAGTTTTCATGCTCTTGACTCATCATTTTCTTTCCATATAGTGAATCTTGGCCCCACGTCGAAGACTTGCGCGGCTTGATGCAAAGGAACGAGCATCCTCACATCACACTGGGAACTGCAGTGCGTGTGAGCCCCGTTGTCAGCAATGAACTTCTTGCGCGGAGGGCGGCCACCCATGATTTGCAGATGGGGCTTCAGGCCGATTGTTTGGCTTTGCTCAAGGGCTGGAACGATTGAGTGAATTTTTCCAGCTTAGCCTTTGGCTCATGACGGACGGCTCGACCGTTTTGCCCAGACAGCAACACACAGAGACAGAGAGAGAGAGAGAGAAAGAGAGAGAGAGAGAGAGAGATAAAGAGAGAGAGATAGAGAGAGAGAGAGAGCGAGAGAGAGAAAGAAAGAAAGAAAAAAGAAAAAGAGAGAGAGAGAGAGAGAGAGCGAGGGAGGGAAGGAGGGAGGAAGGGAAGGAGGGAGGGAGGGAGGTAGGGAGGGAGAGAGCGAGAAAGTGAAGGCACGTGACCTCAATTCAACAGTGGGCGATTTGTCCAAGGTACTTGGTGGATCCCCAATCCAAATGAAGTAATTAAAAAGACACCGACATGGTAGGAACATGGCAGAAACAACAAGGTGATTGGGTGTTTTTGCAAAGATCCTTTGAACGGGGGCCTTGTTCGACGACCCTGTTTTTAAAAATATTTTGTTTGGTCTCCATCGCTCGAAAAAGATGGTTTTCTTGTTAGGCTTGGCTGCAACAGTTGAGCCTGGGACAATATGCGTCGCAGCTGGGGCATTGGTCTCAAAAAATGGGCGCAGCCACGCCCGAGGAGAAGACTTGCCTTGTGCCGGTTCGAGACCCAAAAGGGCCTCCTAACAACCATTCAGTTTCTTGTGTCTAACAGAGAGGAAGGAAGGAAGAAAGCAAGGAGGATAAAAGACAGATCTAGAGGTCCAAGGACAACAAATAAAGGCAAAGGACAAACAGAAAAGAGAAAGGTTTGTTTTTGTGTTGCTTGTTTTCCTTCCTGCTCGTAGCAAGGCGTAGTAAAGCGTGTCTTAGGTGAGTGAGTCAACCTCGGGAGTCTGGAGCATTGCAAACATTGGATCGGCCGTGATGACTTTTGTAGCAGGAGCTTGGTGAGTTTGCTGCGGAGGCAGCGGATGCTGTTGAGGATGACCAAGATTCCAAGGAGTGCGTGACAGTGCGTGAACCAGTCTTCATTGATAGTTTGTCACTGCAGTTTGTTTGCACCTCGTTTTTTAATGTTACATTTTCCAAATGGTCACCTGAACATGTCGATTCAGTTCGCTTTCAGACCATAGCTGACCGAATAGCCATGGTAAACATCATCACTTCACCCTGTGAGGAACGAATCGCAGAAGTCTTGCAGAAGGCAGTCCAGCGGCCCATCCATGAGTTCATGCCTCGTGGATTCCAATCTTAGATCCCCTTGGTCCAATTGCGATTGAGACTAGTGACTGGTTCGGCCACCCTTGTCCTTGTGGGGGAGGCAACTGGCTCTTGGGCTTGCACCCTGTGCGTATAAATGGCGTTTGCAAGTTCGAAGGGTGTTGCCTTGTTCAAGCGATGCTAGTAGCCGCAAACTGTTTGGCAGAAGCTGGCCCAGGCTGGTGAGCCCACTGCAGCTCACAGGGGTCTTAGAAGGCATGTTGAAGGGGCAGTGAGCCTTGGTGCTTGAACCGGGCAGTGCGGCGTTATTGATTCAGTTTCACCTTGACATGGACAAAGTCTTGCAGTGGACTTCTGCCAAAAGGGTTCTCTCCTCTCTCTGGAGCAGATGACAACAGCAATCAGCAAAAAGAACAGAGAGAAAGGAAAAGGACAGAAAATGAACAGAAAAGAACAGGAAGGAAAGGAAGGAAGGAAGGAAGGAAGGAAAGAGAAAGGTCTAAAGGTCTGGTTTACCCAAACATCTAGGAACCAAGTCAATCATGCGAAGAGCCCTAAGCTTCTCTTTGTGCTGGCGCGCCCTAGTAGCTGCTTGTCAGCTACTGGCACCTGCCTTTCTAGCCTCTCCTCACCCTTTGTGTGACAAGCACTTTTGCACATGGCAGCACCCTCGCAGGGCGCTAAGCAGAACATGCCCAAGAGTGAGTCAACGACTCAGTGGTGGATGCTTGCCAAAGACGAGCCTTCTCAGCTATTTTCTCCAGGCATCAGTTTGTATGACACACTTGTCCCAATCATGTAGGACTGAAGATGGAAGTCAAACATACAACATATATTTGTAAACAATCAAGTTGGGATGAGGGCTCAGCTCCAGGCACTCTAGGCCCAAAATACCTAGGTTGGCAAGAACAAAACAGCTAGAAAGCAACGTTTGTAGGTCTTCCTTTCACTCTCATGACTTCGCTGTATCACAAAGACACCTGGAACTTCTGAGGCTGGAACTTCTGGCTTCACGTGCAGTCCTGGCGATGCTTTGCGCGTGGCTCTCAGCTTCAAAGAGTTGACCCGTCATGGACTCAGCGGCAAAGGAGCCCCTAGAAACCCAATAGCAAAGGGACTTTAAGAGCTATGGCCCCAATCATGGACTCCATGGCGAGACAATGACAATGAGTCCATTGCGAGAATGGCGCTCCAATTGTAAGGTCCCTTTCCAGGAGAACTCTGACATCCAGGTGGGACAATGGTGTTGATGTGAGAGAGACAGAGGAGAAAACCAGAACACCTGAACTTCAAAGGTCTTGGGCTTTCTACAGGGAGAACAAATTATGGAAAGGTATGTTTCTCTTTTTGTGGTCTGCATGTGTTGACCCGCCAGCACAGGTTGAGGGGACAGAGGCTTGTGTTCATGCATAGCCGAAGAAATCTCCGCTGAAGTGCTTTCTCTCTATCAGGGTGACGGATAGGGTCAGGCTGATAAACGCATGGGTGGCTTAAATTTATCAAGTTGATTCCATTCGCTGTTGGGAGGCTTCTCTAGAAATGTCAACTGATGGCTCCCATCAGTATGAAAAAGTCACGCCCTCAGGGTTTTGCCGGTCGGAACTTTTGCACAGACAGGAGCTAATCAGCTAATCTACTAGGGGCCAAGAAGCGACTAGTAACAAGTGCATCGCTTCTAGTAACAAGTGCCTTACTAGTAGTAACAAAGAAGCTACTAGGAGCAAAGGGCATCGCTTCTAGTAACAAAGGGCATCGCTACGAACGGAGCAAGGACGCTACTAGGGGCTCCTGGCCATACTACGAGTAACAAGAAGCTACTAGTAACAAATCTCTTTCGAACATCTCCGGGCCATAATCGCCAAGGCGAAGAAGAACGCATTCCTTTTCAGTGCTCAAAGCGTGAGCGCCTGAGAACAGCTGTTTTTCTCAGACTGAACCAAGAATCTTGAACATAAATGCTGAAGATGCTTGAGTTCTCTTCCTTTCTCACTGTACTTTAATAGCTTTTCGTTCTTCTTTCATTCGCTATGTTTTTCTTTGCTCTTCAGACCTTTAGACCTCTGTAGAAGCACTCATTCCTTTCACAGAGCAGTGGGAACAAGTCACCAAAGGTAGCTAGGGCAAACTCTTGGGTTTGGCCCTTGGGCCCTTTGCTTCGCCGCGACAACGCGGCCCCTGCTGTCTATCCCTTTCCCCACTGCATTGCTAGTGTTCTTGTGCCTGGGGGTCTCCATCCCAGTCCACTTGGCTAATTTTGCATGGGGCCGGTGAAGCTGTACCTGGCCAAACAGGTTCCGACACGCGACTCCATCAGTAGCGGGGGCTCCCAGATTTCAGAGAACAGTGTTCACGCTTGGTTTGCATCCAGTGGTGGGTATGTTCGTCGAAAAAACTCGACCTGTTCGTCCGCTAGAAGCTCCATGTGTTCGGATCCAGGGACAACGGTCAGATCAGTGGACTACTGAGGTCAGATTACTGAGAAGAATTTGCCGTGCGCCAAGTGCTTTCATGATGAATGGGTGCACATGGGACTTGAACAGTGGGTGCTGAATATTCTCAGACGGGTGCTGTTGGCACGTGTGGGACAAGAAGTGGGTATTCCATCCATCCCTTGGAGTGGTAAGTGAGTGCGCGTGCTCAAAACAGCATGGATTTGATTGTCCACTGGTGCTGCTTCGTGCTTCAGCCCACCCAGCTCAAGCTAGGTGTCAAGAATTGTATAGAGCCTGAATACATGCATCGGCGCAACCAAACTCTTGAAACAACATGCAGCTTGCATCAGGTCATATGAGGCTTCTTGGAACCCGAAAGACAGCACTTTGTTGAACAAGAAAGTGGCTTTTCGGATGTTGAAGCAGCTGGGCTGTGAAGTGCATCGGCTTGAAGGTGAAAAGCAGGTGAGACATGACCCAGTACAGCCAGTGCTTTGTTGAGGTGAACTTGGCCAAGCAACCAGTGCTCTTCAAGATGTTGGTCGAACTGGGACATGGACCTCGCCGGAATGAGGATGGTGACCTGGCGGTGCGTGTGAAGGAAGATCGACATCGGAAACCTGAAGAGGTGGTCGCTGCCTTGTCTCAACCTCGGAAGCCGAAGGAAGTGAAGGAAGTGAAGGAAGAAGGCTATCCTTCCGTTGGCCGACCGAGGTGGGCAAAGTGAGAACCAAACAATCTTTGACGCCCAGAAAAACATATTCCCCAAGCTGTCTGTCTGTCTGTCTGTCTGGTGCTCTCTGGTGTCTTGTTCACATGGTTCCTCTTCTCAAGCGGCTTTTCTCCACGTCAAAAAGATTTCTACTTCATGTTTGGCTCTTTGGATTATGATTCATGATGCTAATGTGTCACTGTGTCCTACACGTTTTGGGAACAAACAAATCAACATCGAAGACAAGGAACTAGACCAAATCTCAAAAGGATAACTGGCTGGGCGCCATCATTGCAGTTGACTTCATGATTTGTTGCTCTTCAATTACTCATCCTCCTCCTTAAACAGGGCCGCCTTTCCTCTTCTTGGCAACATGCCTGTTTGTGAATGAGGCCTTTACAGAATTTCTATATCAGAACCTCTGTTGTTGTGATCCTTAGAAAGGAGGAACCTGTCATTGTCATGAAGAATGTGGCTCTTTTTAATGGAGGGCACTTTGCTTACCGATATGCACTTACACGATTGAAAGTTGTTTGAGGCCAAACCGGAGTTTTACTACTAAGATTTAAGGCAGACTTGTTGTGACATAGATGCAGCACCAAAGGTGCCATGTGTATTTTTTGGCGTTTGTCCTTCAGGCCGCAGTGCCGGAGAAGGAACTCTCCAAGCCGCGGCGGACTGCTGCCGAACAGCGTGCCTACTTGGACCGGCTGCTGAAGCCACGGGAGTGGGAGGAAGTTCCCAGTCATTTGGGCGAGCGTCTTGCTGAAGTGCAGAGAGAACTCGAACCACGGCGAACTGCTGCAGAGCAGCGTGCCTATTTGGATCAACTTTTGAAACCACGGGACTTGGAACCTCAGAAGGAACTCTCGAAGCCTCGCCGAACGGCAGCGGAGCAGCGTGCCTACCTGGACCAGCTTTTGAGGCCACGAGAGTGGGAAGAAATCGCTGGGATCCAGAATGGATGCGATCCACTCAAGGAGCAAAACATGGACGGTCTTTAGGCCCAAAAGAAAGAAAACAAACGACAAAAGGAACAAACAAGGTTCAAAGGTCCAAAGACCAAAAGATAAAATAGAGGTGTATATAATATATACTGTGTATATATATAGGTCTTAAAGAAAAGTTGTGATCCACTCTAGGAGCAAGTCAAACCACGTCGGACTGCTGCGGAGCAAAGGGCCTACTTAGAGCGGCTTGCAAAGCCGCGGGAGTTGGAAGATGCCTTTGGCACCAAATCTCCGGAGGACGGGTGAAGATTCATTTTACCTACTAGGTTGGAGGCCATCGCTACTAGTAGGGACGCTACTAGGTGGAGCCACATGCCTCTTTCGACGTCACAAACCACCACACCGCACATCACATCACATCACCTATCATCACATCACCTTGCACTCCGCCAGTCAACACTTCCATTCACTAGTCAAACCATCTCATATCCTGTCTGAAACTCTCACCCACTCGCTCTGCCCAACATTACTACCTGGTATTTCCAATGTATTTCATAGTTGCTCAGGGGCCGGTTCGTGAAACATACCTCTTCCATATAGGCCACAATCCCGGTGGGAGCTGTTGTCAATGAATCAGACTCTTCGCAGCCTTGCAAGGAGTCGTCCAAAACGCCAAAACCTCGTTCACCACGCTCACAAAGGGAGGCATGCAATCGGCTGTCACAACCCAGAAAGCCGAAGAAGACGTTTTGAACATTTAGACGATGAAGAGATGGAAGAGATCTTGGCGAATGGGTCAGACACGCCAGCGGTTCAAATCATTCCTTCGATGTTGGCACAATGTTCGCCACGCTTAGAGCGCATTGAGGAGGAAGCTGAAGGCCCTCGGCGCGCTCGAGAGACAAAGGCCAGAGCCAAGGCTCTGGGCCTTCAGGGTCTTCTGCCGGGCTCTCGGGGCCTTATGCGGCACCGGTTTGCCCCAGAAGATATGTCGAGCGAGTGGAAAGCAAGCATCGCCCACGAGGTGCTCCCAAAAACGAACGTAATGAGCTCAGCCTAAGCCCTGATGAGCTGAATCAACTCTCCAGTTTCTTGGCAGCTGAGGGCAGAGATGCGGCTCAACGTGAGGCCATGCTGAGTGACATCGATGCTTTGTACAGTCAACTCATCAGAGCTGGTGCTGAGCCGGATCCTTTGGATTCCTTAGAGCTGGAGCCCTTGGAGCCCTTGGAGCCCTTGGAGCCCTTGCAGTTGGAACCGATGCAGGATCCCGTGCAAGAGCCGCTGGAGACAGAGAAGCCAGTGGAGAAGCCGCCAAGCTTGCCCGAAACTGAGCCGACGGCCCAAGTAAGCCAAAGGAACGAGTGCGAAGGCTTAGACTTGGGAGATGGAGAAGAACTCCTCACAGCTATTGGTCAGCTTTACTCGCAAATGATGCAAGACAGCGTCGCGAGGCCCGAAATAGATCCGGACACCACAAGCGAGTCGAAGGAGGTGAGCCACTCGAGCCCCAAACCGAACGAGTCCGACAAAACGCCGAGCTCGGAAGCTTCAAGCGATGACGGCGAGTTGTCAAGCTTGCTGGAAGAAACTTGGCAATGCTCCCTGCTCCCCCCTACTAGTAGCAAGAAGCTACTAGGTGGAGGCCATCGCTATTATTTGGAGGCCATTGCTACTAGTAACAATAGAGCCCTTTTTGTTTGGCGATGCTCCAGAAATTAGCTTTGCTCCGCGCTCTCCATGCTTCCAGAGTGTTCTTGCTCATGCAGTGTTCTTGTTTCTTTCATGCTCAGGAAGTCCTGTGGAGCGCTCTTCTTCTATCACGAGGAGGTTTACAGATGTCGGAACTCCAGAAGTTGCTGTCCTTCAATTTGCTGAACCGCCTCCCAATCCCAAGCGATGGGCCAAGTGCTGTGCCGCGGAGTCTGCGGCAGCGTCTATCGACAGAACTACCAGAGCTGTATGAGGCGCTCAGCACCAACAAGGTATCCCAGGAGCAGCACGTCCTTCGCCAGTAGGTTGGAGGCCATCAATACTAGGGTTGAAGATATCACAGGAGTGGCACCTGTTTCATGACTTTAACGTCCTTACGCGCCATGATCAAACAAGAGATCGTGCTTGGACAAAGGGGACCACAAACATGTCGGGATATTGTGCAAGACGAGCAACCAGTTGACCGGTGACGATTCGTTGATCTTCAGGAGATTTCATGCCAAGAAGCCTTGCCACTGCTTCGGAAGGCACGGGATGATTTGCTGAGTTCATCAATGGTCCGACCTCCAGCGGCTTCTGATGCCCAAGCCAAGACCAAGCGAGCGACGAAAATACGGGGCTGATGCATGGGCTCTTTAAATCAACTGCTTGCCCCTTGTCCCCCTTGTTGTTTTTCATTCCAACCTACTAGCGATGGCCTCCAACTGGAACCCTCCAAATGTTCAAGAATTAGATTCTTCAATCTTCGTACCTTAACTTTTGCTCTGCATCGCCTGGGGGCTTCCCCACACGCAGAAGGCCGTTTTGGCTAGTCTTCTTTCCCTTAAAGGTGGGTGAACAGTAGCCCCTGGCATTACTACTAGTAACAAGAAGCCTACTAGTAACAAGGGCATCGCTACTAGTAGCAAGAAGCTTCTAGTATTTCAGGTGTCAGACTGACTAACGTCGAGATGAACATCACGTCGCTCCTGAGGCTCAGCCTGGCAGCAGAGCCTTGTGCCAAGCTCTTTGCCTTGGTGGGCACCGACACGAAGACGAGCGAGACACGAAGACGAAGGGCGAAGGCAAACAGCTTGGAGAACACCTGCCTCCTTTATTCAGGTGAGCTACTAATAGGAAGCTCCTAGCTAGGACGCAGGATAGCGGATGCTTGTTCAAGGAAGCTCCCGCCCTCTCGCACTGATCATTTGGCTCCTAGATCAGGGAAACTTGTGTTGTGTTGCTTGCAGGAATGCCAGCAAGGTATAGTTGGCTTTGGGACCCCAAGCTGAACGCGTGGTAGCAAGAAAGCTCGCTTGCTACTAGTAGTCATGGGGCTGTTTCTAGGTTAGCTACAGTAGAACTCCATGTCAATTGGCCAATGGCTCCGACCGGTTCCATCCGCGGCCAATCCATATGGGAAGGTCTTTTCTTTGTGTTCGGAACCACTCCCGAATCAAATGCCACTGTCTTGAAGTCAGAGCTTCGACTGTCATAAAATCAGTGGGTCCCCCTTTTTTTTTCCCGAATCTTCCCCCAGGAGCCTTCATGACAAAAGAAGTCATGGGACTCCGAACATTGCCACTTGCAAGCCGGGGTACAGGTCATACGTAGGCAGCTTCTTCGCAACTCGGCCGAGCTAAACAAGGAATGTGAAATGAACTTCTTTGCAGGTGGAGGAATGCATTGCAACATCCTCCACCTAGTAGCTTCTTGTTACTAGTAGCTACTTGTTCCTAGTAGTACGGCCAGCAGCCCCTAGTAGCATCCTTGCTCCTAGTAGCGATGCCAGGAGCCCCGTTCGTAGCTTCTTGTTACTCGTAATGCTAAGATCCAAGAAGCTTGTTGCAGGTGGAGTCCGACTTCACCCCCCTATCCTTGTGCCAGGACTGCATCAAGTGCGCCCAATGAGTCCACCTGGTTCTCTGTTGCCAACGGAGTTAAGTCACCCAAGACCCAATATCTTCAATAAGATGCTTCTTCTTAGTAGCAAGGCAGCTGAATCCCAGATGCAAGGTGTTTTCACAGCGTTTGGCTTAGTCTTCTTTTCGAGAGGATGCGAAGCCCTACCTTGACCAAATTGCCTCTGACGACGTGTGCGAGGGAAAGTTGAAGGACTACGTCTGGTGCTGAGCTGGCCAGGTGGTGAACTGCTACCAAAAGGAACGGAGCGAGGTAAACATCTTTGATTGCACATTTTTTGGCGTTTTGGGGGGCATGGTAACATCCAAAAAGCATCTGAGTCTTTTCTGGCCGTGAGGTCATGCCCTTGAAGCAGATCATTTTCTTTCGACTCATCAAGCAGCTCTCAGAGGCCAAAGATCGCATGAAGATGTGACGTGTGATCCATCCAATCGACGCACAGCTGGGGTTGTTGGACGGAGCTTTTGAACGAAGAAGATGGAGGCCATCGCTAGTAGGTTGAAGGCCATTGCTACTAGGGGGGAGGTTATTGCTAGTAGGTTGGATGCCATCGCTATTAGATTATCAAAACACTGCCATCTATGTACAGTCATGGCACAGCTAGCTGTGGGAACCTATGCCCAACTCCTCACTCGGGACTAAAGTGCTTTTGATGCCATTCGTTTGCTTCTGATTCTGACCATGTGATTGCTATTCCCTTGCTCAGTCGTTTTCGGTCGGTCCTTGCGACGAGGTGTATGTCAGCATGACGATCGAGGACTTCGAAAACGCTGCATCGATTGTGCTCGGACCCTGGAGCTCTCCGACAGTCCTCCCCACGGTCCTGCCAGTCCTGTCCTACAATGGTCATGGTCATGGATGACTGGATGATATTAAGTCTGAAGAAGCTAGGGGGTATAGAAGCCCTCTTCTATACCCAAGCACCTTCCTTAGACTTCTATTCTTTTCTTCATGGCGCAATCTTAACCAGCACCCACCCTACACATCCAGAGTAACGTCCAGTCATGACCACGATCGAACACCCGTCTTGACTTGTTGTGAACAGTAGACTCAGTAGACCTAGCGGACCCAGCGGACATCGGCAACACATAAACTCTGAATCAAAGCGTCCGATCGCTACGTTCGTAGCGAGTAGCGATGCCAGGAGCTACGTTCGTAGCATTCTTGTTCCTAGTAGCGTCCTTGCTCCTAGTAGCGATGCCAAGAGCCCCTAGTAGCTTCTTGCTCCTAGTAGTACGGCCAGGAGCCCCTAGCAGCGTCCTTGCTCCTAGATCAGGAAATGGCCGAGGGCCTGTAGGCCTGACTCTTGATGTTGAGGCCATTCAACATCGCTGAGACATGGATGGCGAACGCCTCTCGCCAGCAGGGTGCCGGCCTCAGGGTTGCCTTCCGGACAGCTTCTCATGGGTACATTTGGCCTACGAAAGGGGGGGGACTATGGCACTTGCCATTGATCAAGACCACTTCAACACCAAAGGTTCGAATGTCCTTGTCGTTTTCTTTCTTTCGTTCTTTCTTTCTGTCTCTTCCAGTGTCATATTTATCTTTTCACGGCAGTCTCTTGAGCTTCTAGTGTTGATGGACGAACCACAGCAGCGCTTTCAACATTTTTATGTGCCCCTCGTTCTCCCTCTTTAAGATTTGGGACCACCACAGTAAAAAAAAGACAAACAAGTTGAAGGTCCGAAATCCTGCACCTCCTCAGAGGTTGCTACATGACCCTTGTCGGTTCAGGATTTTATCCATTAAACGTATGGGACAGGTGTCGGGTGTGTGTCAGACCAGGGATGTCGGACGTGCGGCTGGTCACCACGCAGGCATTAGCATTCAGATCAACTATATGCAGAAGGCAATCATCTTCGGTGCTCCAACGAAGGTGGACATGTTCCAGCCTCAGCCGCTGAAGCCCAGCAAAAAGACATATGGCAGCAGCATTAGCAAACCAACAAACATATTGAATAGCAAAATTCACTGCATCACTAGGCTGTGGGGACACTTCATTATTTCAATGCTTCTTTTTGCGCGATGCAGTTCACTTGCCTTTGAAGGAAGAGTATGAGACAGCCACTCATAGAGATCGGCACCGCTCTCAGCTGGTGTAGCCGCCTCCTTGACACGCTTCTTGCCCTGCTCAAAAGCAGTTTTTCTCCTTTTTGTGGCTCTCGAGGCTACAAGCTGCAACAGGCAAGGGGCTCCAGACAAGAACGCTGACCTTTGAGTTTTTTTGGGTTGTTGCTTGGAGGTGAGGTGGAGAGGTGGAATGATTTCACGGTATTTTTCCTATTTTTCAGGACTCATTCCTTTGTTGAGCGGGCTGCTGATTGATTTGGAAAGATCAACAGGAGTTTGTCGCAGAAATGAGTTTTGCAGTTCTGCTCATCCTTCAGGCTATGCAGTGTGTGGCGCAGGACTTGTTTGGCTGTTTGGTCTGCCACAGTCACTGGATGTGCGGGCTATGCACGGGTGTTCAGCTGTAAGCCGTTGCCCTCTCATACCACGTTCACTCTATGATATGTGTTAGGCAGATGCTCCCCGCCCCTTTCAATTAGGAAGCGTGTGTGTAACCGCGATCCAGCCGAATGTGAGGAGGAACTGCAGAGAAATGACAAGCAAGAGAAACAGCTGGGGAACCCAGAAGCCAAATTGTGAAGATTGCTTTCTTCAGACGATTTGACCTCTCGCGACCTCTCAGCTTGGTGCAACTGGTTTGCTCATCTCCAACGGCTCACCTCCAAAGGATGCAATCACAGATACGGCATTTCTGCGCCCGTTGCTGTATTCAGAAGGCTTCACTGCCCCAACAGATGACAGTGGACAACATACTGGAATGTGTCAATGAATTTTCATTTGGTCGCGGGGAGTGATGGTGAGCAGTGGACTGGAAGAGAGTCAACTGAGTAAACCCTTGAAGAATGCAGTGGTGGTACAGTGGTACATGTTTTGAAGCTTCTTCAAAGGCTGTTCCCAAGAGGTTCAGCCTGGCAGGCAATTGCTTAGCAACATCAAGGAGCTCATGGACCAGGCAGGGGATCCGACACCGTCCGACGTTCTTCGCTTCGTTGCTTGGTGGAGATGGTTGGTTGATGGATCGAGCAGACCGGATCTGCCCCATGTTCGGAACGCACGAAGCCCTTCGTTTCACACATGAGAGTAGGATGTGAATGAACATCGCTCTGTTTTTGTGCTGGGTTTGAAAACGCTGGGTTTGAGGTCCTTGAGTCGGAAAACGACCGTCCGTCGACGGCCCTCACTATGCTGTCAAGCTCCCTCACACCGCAGGAAGCCAGCAATGTGTCGCGCTGTGCAGGAGACCCGTTCCATTCGCCAGCGCAAAGAGGAGATCGAACGACGCAAGGAGGAGAGCCTGAATCTCGGTGCAGAGTGAACCGCAGAGAAGCAGAGCTGATCAAAGTGAGAGTTGTCTCCAACTCCAAAGGGGAGGCCCCAAACAAACCACAACGCCAACGCATTTAAACAATACATGTTAACCAAAACGTTTGTCGGGCTGGAACCTGGAACTAGAACGCTAGAAACAAGTCTAGACTTCACATCCCCGCGAATAAACATGCACAGTTATTTCTTATGTTTTCGTTTTTCCTTTTTCTTCACCTTTCTTTAGGTATCTCTTCTTTTCCTTTTGCTCCTCAACTCCTAAGAAAGTCTTAGGCCTTGGACCCCACCACTTAAACCATGGTCTCAATGGTATGTATGGCAACTTCTTTGAGACCAAACAGGCTTGTCGCTTGTCGCTTGGGGCAACGACTAATTTGGAATACACAATCCTTTAAGCGCGCCGTTCCCCCAAACTCTGAACACACCATGGAAATCAGTGAAATCACCATAAAAATCCTGAGACTCCATTCTGTTATGTAACCTTTGGTATCACATCTCCACGGGAGTTAAATGGGCGCCGCTGTCAATCTCCAACCTGACAGGCACTCTGAGCTTTTGTTTCCCTCTTCTGAGATCTCCCATGTTGTCCTGAACTTTCAGGGAGCCCTACCGTTGTGGGAAATGGTTGTTTCCCATTTCAGCTGCAGCACTGCCGCGCAAATTAGTTGCTCGAGGTGAGCGGCGAAAGCAAATCCTCGAGCGGGAGGCAAGGTGCTTCATGTTGAACCATGAGCAACAACAGAGGCTTCAGCAGCCATAAAGTTCTTGTCGAGCCTGCCCTGGCCTTTCAGTTGTTGCTGTTGCAACCCGTAGCAGTTGGAAGTGGGTCAGGAACATCCCTGCGCTAGTTGTATGGTCCAATTGTGATGGAATGGGATGGCCCTTTGGTTGAATCAAGGCCATGGAGCGCCAGCGCAAACAAGAAGCTTTGGAGGCCGAGCAGGAGCGCAAGAGGCACGGTTTTGATATGTTTGCGAACATGGCCGGCGTGGGGAGTGTCGGTGCCCTTACCTTGGCAGTTTTGAACAAAATAAACGTTCTGACGCTACGAAACTACAGGTAGCGTCAGCTACCCGAGTTCCATGTCTAAGAGGACCGATCCTCCGGGCTGTGCAGCCTCAGCCTGCTCTGGGCCTCGGCCGCTCGCCTGTCAGGCAAGAGGAAGAAAGAAAGCGCCGAGAGGTGGAGAAACAGGACGCTTTCAGACCTACAAGCAAAGGGCATCGCTACTAGGAGCAAGGACGCTACTAGGGGCTCCTGGCCTTACTACTAGAAACAAGTGCCTCGCTACTAGTAACAAAGTGCCTTACTAGTAGTAACAAGAAGCTAGTAGTAACAAGTGCATCGCTACTAGGAACAATGTTTGCAACTACAAACAAGTGCATCGCTTCTAGTAACAAGTGCCTTACTAGTAGTAACAAGAAGCTAGTAGTAACAAGTGCATCGCTACTAGGAACAATGTTTGCAACTAGAAACAAGAGCATCGCTTCTAGTAACAAGTGCCTTACTAGTAGTAACAAGAAGCTAGTAGTAACAAGTGCATCGCTACTAAAAACAATGTTTGCTATTGGAAACAAGTGCATCGCTTCTAGTAACAAGTGCCTTACTAGTAGTAACAAGAAGCTAGTATATAGTAACAGGTGCATCGCTACTAGGAACAATGTTTGCTACTAGAAACAAGTGCATCGCTTCTAG